CACTAGGACCACCAGGGAAGGCAGCATACCCCCCCTCCCCAGGCTAAAGGTATGATGGGGGGGGAATGTGCTTTTTTTTTTTTTAATTATTAATAAAAAAAAATTCAATTTAAATAAAAAATACATTCACACTCACACTAACAGCCCCCTCACACACACAGCACCCAAACACACACAGTACCCCAAGAGACACACACAGTACCCCAAGAGACACACACAGTGCACCCCCAGACACACACAGTGCACCCCCAGACACACACAGCGCACCCCCAGACACACACAGCACCCTCACTCACACACAGCACCCTCAGACAGACAGCACCCTCGCTCACACACACACACACATATTCATGAAATGGTAGATGCTTGGCAATCTCCTTACATTTGAAATAAAGATATCTTGCCTAGGTGCTGTATCACTGATCTTGAAAAAGACCCAGCAGGGTCGAAACGTCGGTCGATTTCTGTATACATCCTATGTATTAATAAAGCACTATTTTTCACCTATATGAAGACCTGTGAGTGCACCCCGTTTTTGAGTTTTTATATATATATATATATATATATATATATAATACACAAGATCCAGCGCACTCACCTATCCACTAAACAGCAACTTCAATGTTGAAAGATTTAATTTGTTTTTTTTTAAACACCTAATCTAGGCAAAAATAATGGGGGTTTAGTTACATTATATGATCATACATTGCATAAGCCTGCCACAACGTCAATGTACCCCATCTTTGGCAGGTCCCACACTAACAGCCTAATGTCTGCTCTTATGAGATTAACCACTTACTTGAGGAAAAAATTCCATCTGGGGCTCTCTGCAGTACAAGGCTAAATAGGGCCCTGGGGTGAGGCACCTGTGACAGGGAGGGGTGCAAAACCAAGGAGTTGGCTAGACTCCCAAATATATATAAAACAAGAGGGGGATGGCTGCACTCACCTTAACATGCACAAATGGGGGTGCTGCTAGGCCACAATGTTGAAATATTTAATTTGTTTTTTAAACACGGGAGCCTGGCAATACCGGCTTAGTTACAGGCGACAGGCTGTATCGTAAAACAGCCATTGGCCCGGTTACCGTACCCCATCTTTGGCAGATGAGCAGACATTAGGCTGTTAGTGTAGGACCTGCCAAAGATGGGGTACATTGACGTTGTGGCAGGCTTATGCAATGTATGATCATATAATGTAACTAAACCCCCATTATTTTTGCCTAGATTAGGTATTTTTAAAAAAACAAATTAAATCTTTCAACATTGAAGTTGCTGTTTAGTGGATAGGTGAGTGCGCTGGATCTTGTGGCAGGCTTATGCAATGTATGATCATATAATTACCTACCCATCTTTGGCAGATGAGCAGACATTAGGCTGTTAGTGTAGGACCTGCCAAAGATGGGGTACATTGACGTTGTGGCAGGCTTATGCAATGTATGATCATATAATGTAACTAAACCCCCATTATTTTTGCCTAGATTAGGTGTTTTTAAAAAAACAAATTAAATCTTTCAACATTGAAGTTGCTGTTTAGTGGATAGGTGAGTGCGCTGGATCTTGTGTATTGTAATATTTGGCCCCCAGCAGCACCCCCATTTATGCATGTTAAGGTGAGTGCAGCCAACCCCCTCTTGTTTTATATATATTTGGGAGTCTAGCCAACTCCTTGGTTTTGCACCCCTCCCTGTCACAGGTGCCTCATCCTAGGGCCCTATTTAGCCTTGTACTGCAGAGAGCCCCAGATGGAATTTCTTTCCCCAAGTAGGTTAATCTCATAAGAGCAGACATTAGGCTGTTAGTGTAGGACCCGCCAAAGATGGGGTACATTGACGTTGTGGCAGGCTTATGCAATGTATGATCATATAATGTAACTAAACCCCCATTATTTTTGCCTAGATTAGGTGTTTTTAAAAAACAAATAAAATCTTTCAACATTGAAGTTGTTGTTTAGTGGATAGGTGAGTGCTCTGGATCTTGTGTATTGTATTATTTGGCCCCCCAGCAGCACCCCCATTTATGCATGTTCAGGTGAGTGCAGCCAACCCCCTCTTGTTTCATATATATATATATATATATATATATATATAAAATAACCCTCAGTGAGTTAACAGACAAAGAAAATTAGAAACCTAGAATGTGACGGCAGATAAAAACACCCTCACACACAGCACCCTCTTACATACACACACATTGCACCCCTCACACATACAATACGTAAAAAAAAAACTAAAAAAAAAACGGATTGCCCTTTTTCATCTATCAAAGGTCCTGCAAGATGAGACATTTTACACTTAAGCCACCTATATGTCTAGTTTCAATGTAAACTAACTGACTTTGACCATATGGCTTGAAACTATCAATGGATAGTTCAATCCGTTGATATGATAATGGTATTAGTTTCACGAAGACCAGTATGTTCTGGTACAGGCATAGGCAACCTTCGGCACTCCAGATGTTTTGGACTACACCTGCCATGATGCTTTGCCAGCATTATGGGTGTCAGAGCATTTTGGGGGATGTAGTCCACAACATCTGGAGTGCCGAAGATTGCCTACCCCTGTTCTAGTATCATATCCAAGAGAAACATTAATACTTATCCACAGATGAATAATTACACCTCATTTTTATTATATTTAGAATGGGGCAGCACAGCCTTTTAATCAAGTCTAAACCCCACTTATACAACTTAAAGTGGATGGCAGGGGTTTTGATATCTGCTATATAAGGTCACACGTAAGTCATGTGATATGTCCCTGGAATGGGAAACTGGTAACAAATTCATAGAGGCAATTATTATTTCTGTGGCAAGCACAGTAGAGGAGATAAAACCAAAAATATATATTTGGCTTGTTGTTTTCTGGAACACAAGGGAGTGGCTACTGATTGTGTTTATAGGTATGCTTTACCTCTGCCTCTGGGAAGGCTGGTAACTTGACATGAATCTAAAGGGTATATAACAAATGATATTGAAAGGTCTTGATGTACTTGATGGGGCCAAGATCTAATTTTGAGTTAGTCACTATCATCCTTCCTTGCAAGAGACCACCTGGGCAGAAGTTGTACTTTGAAAACCTAAGTGAGTAATTAGGACTTCTGTATTTTATCGTTTTTGGTTTTATCTGTTGTTGGTGTAAATAACTTGTTTATCATATATTTGTATTTGTACTGTGACTATTTTTTGCTCATAATAAACATTAATTTATTAGGTTCTGCCTTTGTCTGGTTAAGAATCATGTTACCTGAAGAGACTAGTTAGTATTTTTGCAATTCCTTAAATATTGTACTAAGTAATATTTGGTGGGTTTTATTATTGATTTACCTGGGGGACCAAGGCACCCCATTTATAAATTGTCTTGGTGGTGGTAGTATTAAAATAGTAATAGTTATATTATGTTTTAGTGTGGGTGGTGTTGAAAGTGGGATTTTGTCATTATTTCCCATCTGTTGCAGACAAATAGTGAATTTTAACCCTTTCACCACCACAACTACATCACGCACACTCTTGGAGTAGGGTGCGTTCGTGACATGGCCCACATAGTGGAGACCACGTTTACACGCAAAGAGATACACCACAAAGGTTGTATTGCAGCTAATACTATCATTGATAGCCCTTCTCCTACTGTAGGACTAAATCGGTGTGCTTTGTGGCACATATTTTTAAATGAAAATTGCTAGGGGAAGATTGTATATCCTCCTTTTCCTCAATGTTTTTATATTTCGATGGGGCCAAAATGTTTTTAAGATTGTGTTCCTTCTGAAGGTGACTCTAGGTTTATCTTGAATACTAAACCTGAGCCACGGATCTAACTTAAGGATCGACCAATGCTTGTTTAAAATTCCAATAATCTCAGCATATGCATTATTGAATATTGTAGTAAAAATGGGTCCTATTTTTTTTTTATTTTTTTTTTATTGGAAAAGTATCAAATACAATGTATAATACATAATTTAAACGTTATAACATATATTTGACAAAACATACAACTTGTTCAGGACTTATTAACATGGCCTGAGGGCCCTCTCTATCCCTACCTATTATCAGCCAGGGTTAATTAATTAACATCTCCTGTTTGATGTCTATCAATCCGGTCTAGCCAGTATTTATAAATTACAGTGTTCTGTGTTTGCGCTGAGCCAATTATAGCCTTTTTTAGAATCTTCATCTGAAATGTAACTTGATATATAAGTTCTTGTATATTAGGCTTTATCGTCCGTTTCCATTTCCTGGCTATTAAGATCTTAAGCCAACAGGACATGTATTATTAAGATCAGCTGTTTCTCGGTTAAATTTGTATGCATTGTATGTAAGAATGCCAAATTCTGGTATAATATTCACCTGTATCGCTCTCATTTCTATCAAAAATTTTACTGAAATGTTACGAAATTCTCTAATGTCTGGGTACTCCCAACAGATCTGCAGATATGATCATTTATAGTTATTACATCTCCAGCATAGATCATTAGTTTGTGGGAATATTGCTTTTAATTTTGTAAGTACGAGGTACCAGCGGTTCATTACTTTAAATAGATTTTACTGTAAATTTATACAACGAATATATCTATTAGTGATATTCAAGACATGGTACCACCTTTACAAGGAAATATCTGCATTTAAATCATCTTTCCAAGCTTTAATTGCTGGGATTCTGGTACCTTTTTGTGCTTGTGTTATTATATTATTACAGAAAGACAATGCCTTCTCTATCTTTTGCCCTTTAAATAGGTATTCAATTTTCAGCATTAGGTTATCTCATTGCTTGCTTAGCAAATTATTCAGATAATTTTTAACACGCAAATAAGTAAAGATTTCTTTATTTTGTGATTTAAATTCTTCAACTACTGTAGCAAATGATTTTATATTTGATCCTTGTAATAATTTTTTACATTTTATCGATACCTGCCTCTGTCCATTTTTTTAATGTTATATATTTCAAATGAAAATATTAAAGGTTTTTAAGATTTAATTTGTTTTGGAAGGGGGCAGGGCCGGGCCACCGA